TGAAGGAATGGTGGTCCGATCCCGTTTGGAATTTTGGGAAAAAAGCAACATCGGTTAGGCAAAACCGCCGATTGAATATGATGTGGTCTATTTCATTGTGGAACCATCCACCGGGAGACTCCCATGTCCAACGTTTAGATTCAGTCTTTTGGAACTGTGAGTTACCATGGAAGGTCTTGGTTGACATGATGAACTCAGAAAGTCTGTCACCCTGTTCCACCAATGGAAAACCAGCAAGACTGTACTACTATACAAGAAGGGAGACATCCATGACATTGGCAACTATCGCCCAATCCGCCTATTGTCTGTCATCTACAAACTGTTCACTCGAGTCATCCAGAATAGGATTGGTAGAACACTAGATGGAGGATAACCATGTGAACAAGCTGGGTTCCGAAAAGGATTCAGTACCATCGACCATATCCACATGATTACTAAGCTCATTGAGGTTTCTCAGGAGTTCAAGATGCTGCTCTGTCTAACGTTCATTGATTTAAAGAAGGCCTTTGATTCTGTTGAGACAGAAGTGGTCATAGAAGCCCTAGCCAATCAGGGCATACAAACTCAATACATCAGGATCCTTCGTGAGCTCTATTACGGATTCACTACCAGGATCTCACCATTCTACAAAGAAGTAATCATTGATGTCAAGAGAGGGGTTCGGCAGGGTGATACCATTTCACCAAAACTCTTCAGTGCCACCCTCGAGAACATCATGAGACGGCTGGAATGGGAAGAAATGGGAGTGAAGATAGATGGTCGGCAACTACACCACCTCTGCTTTGCTGATGACATCATTCTAATAACACCAAACATCAGCCAAGCGACACAAATGCTGACCGACTTCGACCATGAGTGTGGAAAGGTCGGACTACAGCTGAATCTTACGAAGACAATGTTTATGAGAAACAGCCTCGTTCCTGATGCTCCATTCGCTCTCAATGGAACCACCATCTCCAAATGCAACAGTTATATATACCTAGGTCGAGAAATCAACATGATGAATGACCTGGCACCTGAGTTACGCAGGAGGAAAAGAGTGGCTTGGAATGCCTTCAAGAGCGTTGAAGACATAACTAAGAGGACAAAGAACCTCCAGCTACGAGCACACCTCTTCAATTCCACTGTTCTTCCTGCATTAACATATGCCTCAGAGACCTGGGCTCTATAAAAACAGGATGAGAATGCTATTCGGGTCTCTCAAAGAGAAATCAAAAGAGCTATGCTTGGAATATCATGCTTCACTCAAATGAGAGATAGAACCCGGAGTTCTGATCTCTGTCAACGCTCAAGAATCAGGGACGCTGTCTCATTTGCCAAGGCATCAAAAATCAGATGGGCTGGACACGTAATGAGGTTTACAGACAACCGCTGGACTAGAGCCATTACTGACTGGATTCCATGGGACATCAAAAGATCGCGTGGACGTCCACCTACAAGATGGTCAGACTTCTTTGTCAAGACCCTGAATGATCGGTTTGAGGCTCTGCATGTTCCTAGAATGAACAGATGCCATTGGGCTACGCTAGCACGCAACAGGGATGAATGGAGACATTACTGGCACCCGCTCGAGTAAATCGATGAATAACGGGGAATCAAGTGATCAAGTGATCAAGGTTGTTCACATTAATTGATTACATTCAATATTTCAACATTAACCCCACCACTGGGGCTGGAGTGATAGCACAGCGGTAGGGCGTTCGCCTTACAAGCGGCCAACATGGCCAACCCGAGTTCGATTCCTCCGCCCCTCTCGGAGAGCCCGGCAAGCTACCGAGAGTATTCGATATGCCAAACACAGTAACAACAAAGTCTCCAATGGAGACGTTACTGGGCCTGCTCGAGCAAATCGACGATCAACGGGAGGGCCTTTACCTTTACCTTTAACCCCACCACCATTACACCTTCCCACCACCATTATTTTGAATTTTCCCACCATTCACTCAAGCCTGCCTGCTACAGGCAGATGCTAGATAATTTAATTTCTATTGCTTATTTTAAATATCATGAAAGGAAAGCAGCTGCGCACTCCTGGAATTCTAAAATTGTAAATGATTGGGGTCTGGAGAATCTCCATTCTGAGATTCATTTGTGAGTCTCTGGATCAAGTCCATTGATGTGCTTATAAGGCATCTAGAGGCAGTTTGTGGGTGTGACAGCTAGGACCCAAAGGGGTGGGTGGATGGGAAGGGACAGCCTGTCCCAACAGCCATGTGGTCTAAAGTCTTCAGTCTCTGGTCCCACATACCTGGGTTTTTCTTCTGGAAGTTTGTGGCCACCGGGGGTTCATTTTGAGTAGGCAGAGAGAGAGAACACCTGCCCCATCTGAGCTGCCCTAGTGAAATCGGCTCAGCATGGGGTCCAGAGAAATCTCTGGTGAGCTGCTGTCTTCTGGGATTCATTGCTGAGTCTTGCATTTCTGTAGTTTAAAAGCTATCCATTGTGGCTAATATTTTAATTAGATAACTTTACTTAGAAAAAATAAGAGGAGAGAGAAGGCGAGTGAAGGAGAGAGAAAAGAAATTGCACACTTGAGCCAGTAACTCTAGTTAGAGTGATATGTTGCTCATTTAATCAGAAAAGGCTATTTTCATTTAAAAATTAAACAAAGGGCTCAGAGAGATAATACTTGCCTTGCATGCAGACAACCCAGCTCCAAATCAGCATCCCGTATGGTTCTCTGACCTCCACCAAGAGAAATTTCCTGAGTACCTCAGCACCGCCAGGTATATGGCCCAAAAAAACAAAACAAAACAAAACAAATCCCAAAAGAGATTGACTTAGACTGACAAGCGGCCCTGATTTAGATATTTGGGGGGGGGGGGGGAAGGGAACGACGGGCAGATGGAGTCAGACAAAAATAGACAAAGAAACAAAAATGAGAGAAGTCAGCAACGAAGGGATATACAAGGGGCAGAAGAGAAATGGAATAAAGTGGAGCTAGATTTGGCAAGACAGGAGACATTGGAAGGAAATTAGAGACAATTAAGCAAGGGGATGAGTGATGATGCCAGTAGCAGTGTGAGTTCAAATCCTACACTGGGCAGAACCCCAGAGCTTGAGCCTGCTTCGGTGTCTGGCTATAAAAAGAAGGCAAAAGTGTTGAACAGCATTGTAAAGTCACTCCAGAAGAATAAATGAGATCATAGGAATCAACCTATCAGATTCAGAGTATACACAGTGAGTGCATCATTATGAAAAGAAATAAGGTCATTGAGGATGATGAAAGGAAAGTAAGGATTAAGACAGGGACAGGGGCCAAAACTGACTGGATTATTGGAACAGAGCCCAGCTCACAGTCAATAGGGATTTCTCTCTCTCCTGGCATAGATTTTTTTGTTTGTTTGATTGATTTTGGAAAGCATCATTTGTTTTGGTTTTGATTTTGGGGTCACACCAGGCAGTTCTGGGGACTATAGGTGATGCCAAGTATCTAACTGGGGTCCACTGTGTGTGCAAGGCTTAACAACTTGCAACCTTAACAACTACGGGTAGGGCGTCTGCCTTGCATGCAGCCAACATGGCCGACCCGAGTTCGATTCCTCGGAGAGCCCGGCAAGCTACCGAGAGTATTCGATATGCCAGACACAGTAACAACAACAACCTTAACAACTACTATACTATTTCTGACCCGAAAGTGTAGCTTTGGAAAATTATTTGGAGTATTATTTAGGGGGCTGGAGCGATAGCACAGCAGGTAGAGCATTTGCCTTGCATGCGGACGACCCGGGTTCAAGTCCTCTGTCCCTTTCGGAGAGACCGGCAAGCTATTGAGAGTATCCCGCCCACATGACAGAGCCTGGCAAGCTCCCTATGGTGTATTCAATATACCAAAAAACAGTAACAAGTCTCACAATGGAGACGTTACTGGTGCCCACTCAAACAAGTGGATGAACAAGGGGATGATAGTGCTACAGTGCTATTCTTTAGGGGGAGGGTTGGGCCACATTTGGCTGTGCTCAAAGTATACCAATGGCTCTGTGCTCACTTCTACTTGGAGGTCATATGCCGTGTGGGCCTGATTTCAGGCTGGCCGTGTGTAGAGCATGTACCTACCCCACTGTACTATCTCTCTGGCCCATTGAATATTATGAATTCCAGGTATACAGATGAAAACAACAAACGTATAAGAGAGCGTGCTAAGGAACCATGCTCCTATTATTGTAAAGGACAGATACCACAAAAAAAAAAAAAGAGACCTAGAGAACCATAGAGTTTGAAACAGAGCCAGCACACGTTGGGGGGTATTTATGCGTATTCATGGATTCTGTCGTGCCTTGCATGTACCCCAACAACAACAACAAAAAAAAAGAGAAGAAATGGGGGCTGGAGCCATAGCACAGCGGGTAGGGCTTGCACGAGGCTAACCCGGGTTCAATTCCCAGCATCCCATATGGTCCCTAGAGCACTGCCAGAAGGAATTCCTGAGTGCAGAGCCAGGAGTAACCCCTGAGCATTGCCGGTGTGACCCAAAAAGCTAAAATTTTTTAGAAAGTTTTTTTTTAAAAAGAGAGAGAGAGAGAGAGACAGAACAGAATGTGCGAAAAAAGGAGCAGACAGACTGAGAGGGAGACTGCATGATGGAGGAAAGGACTGATGAACACTGGAACCCCATCTCAGTGTCCAGGGCACTCTGGAGACCCTCTGACTCTGCGTGTCCCGCACCCCCAGACCCGGGTCGGGTCCCTCTTTCCTAGAGAGCGCTGGTTGTCGCGGCTCAGCGCCAGCCTGGGAAGTTGTTGGAGGCCAGCCCGGGCTGGCGCTGGCACAGGCGCGTAAAGTCCTGCCAGGCCCGCAGGCTACGCTGACGTTTGGAAAGGCAGCGGGTCGGGGAAGTCCGTGCCCCATCCACAACCGAGCCCCCACCCCCGGTTCAGTCACAGCATAAAGTGCCATGGACGGTGCGGACCCAGCGGCGCGGGAGAGCGGCCCTCGGGACAACCCGGGGACAGAGCGGCCGGGCAACGTGGTTGTGTGGCTGGACGCCGGCGGGAGCTGAGATGCGGCGGCGAGGAGAGGCGGCGGCGGTCACAGGGCTGTGGGTGCTGGTGGCGGTGGGCGCGGCGGGCGCGGCGGCCGGGCGTTGCATCCTATCTCACTACCGCACGCTGGAGCCGCGGACGCTGGCGGCCGTCCGGGCGCTGCGCGACCACCACGTGAGTGACCGGTTCCCCCGAGGGCGCAGACGACGCTGCCCGCGCTCGGGGTCCGCGTGGTGCCCACCCCCCAAACGTCCAAGGATAAGGGCGCCCCTGGGGAGCGGGTAGCTCGACTGCACATCGGGGCTTGGTTCAGCAAGGCGGGCGGGGACCCTGGCACCCTCGCCCGCTCCCCTTTGTCGAGGGGCGTCTTTCCCTGCACGACCATCTCAGTCGTCTGGGTTCCGGGCTTCCCTAGCAGCGCCCCCGCCGGCACGCAGGGCAGAGACCCCGCTTCAGCGGCCGCGCTCACCCCACAGGAGGAGGAGATGCTGAGCTGGACGCCCCGCAACTGCTCATTCCGCCCCAGGAGACTGCAGCCACCGCCCTCCGGCGCGGGGAGCCGGCCACGGGGAGCCGGGAGCCGGGTCTCTAACCGCCGCGGTCGGTCCTGGCAGTCGTGCAGGCGGCTCCCCCAGGTGGCCCGGGACATCGCGGAGGCCCAGGCGGTGCTGATCAATCTGCAGAGCCCCGAGCGCATCCCGGGCATCGACCTGACGCTGGAGCTGCTGGCGGCCGTGGCTCGGGACGTGGCGGCCTGCGTGAGTGTCCCCCACCCCTCCTGGCGCGCACCCCTTTTCTGCTCGGAGTGAGCCACCTACACCCCCGAACCCCACCCTACCCCACGACGGGGTCCACGTGCTCCGTTTGGCGTCTCTCTGACTTCGCACCCCTCGGCACCCCGATCCCAATTTGGTCTGAGGCTGGGAGGGTCGGGGCAGAGGAGGCTGGGGGCGCTGAACCTCTTCATTTCCTCTGGCTCTCCCTGCAGCTGGAGCTGGTGAGACCAGGCTCCTCCAAGAAGGTGCTCAGGCCCCGGAAGTGGCACCTCAAAGCCCAGACACAGGTGGGGGCAGAGTGCAGAGGCACAGCAGGGGTGAGTGGGTGCCCCCGGGGAGCCTCCCCCGCCTCACCTCAGCTCCTGCCTTTCCAGCTCTCTCCCAGGTGCCACCGCACAGCTGTCGTCTTCAACCTGCTGCGCCTGCTTGTCTGGGACCTGAGGCTGGTGGCGCATTCAGGACCTTGTCTCTGAGCACGCCCTGAGGGGCTGCGGGGACTGAAGGTCAGTTCCCCTGCTCAGGGAGCTTCAGCCTCACCCGCTGGCAGCACCCAGGGGAGGAGGCAAGGCGACCCGCTCTGCTAGCCCGACTGACTCCTTCGGGAGGGGCTCCCCAACATTCATTCTCCCAGAGGGCACCCCCAATCCTCCAGGGCTGTTTCTGATGGACAAGGCAGCAGTGAGGTGCTGGGACCCTGGGCCTGGACCTGGGGGCCCCCTTCCAGGACGAGACCACAAGAGCACCAGCGCCTCTTAGATTCTGTGAATCTGTGACTAGTCTCCCGGGGGCCACCTTCCCTGCAGGAAGATGATGAGCCCTGATTCTTCATGGATCCTCCTGGAGCATCCTTCTGTGAAGGTCCCATGTACCCAAATTCGGGTGATGTTGAAGGCTGTTATTAAACACGACTCTTTTCCCAGAAGCTGTTGTCTGTGTGGTCACTGGAGGATCTTTGCCCAGTACTTTCCCCAGATCCCAGCCTGTGTGATGAGAGCCGAATTTAACCCCAGACTTTTCCACCCAGTACATAAGCTCGCAGTGGTCAGGCACAGACCTTTGTCCATATGTCCTGGATGACGGGATCCACAGGGCGCCTTGCATGCGACTGGCTAGATTCTGTATACAGCACCCCATATGGTCACCCAAACCCTCCAGGAGTAATTTGAGCTAGGAGGAAGCCATGAGGTGGGTGTGGTTATAAAACTGTCTCTGTCCTCGAGTTGTTCATCGATTTGCTCAAGCGGGCACCAGTAACGTCTCACAACAAATCGTGAGACTTGTTACTGTTTTTGGCATATTGAATATGTCACGGGGAGCTTGCCAGGCTTTGCTGTGAGGGCAAGATATTTTGGTAGCTTGCCAGGCTCTCTGAGAGGGGTGGAGGAATCGAACCCAGATAGGCCCCGGTCTGCTGCATGCAAGGCAAACACCCTACCGGCTGTGCTATCGCTCCAGCCTGTTTATAAAACATTACAATAAATATTTTAAAAAGAAGACTCCCTGCACAGGCAGGACATGAGGAGATGGTCACTTTGCATAAGTCTCTGTAGACGTCTCATCTCCCAAGTCAAGTCCTACAGTGGACAGAGCTGACCAAGGGCAAGCATGTGGCAGGGTCCCTGCTCTGGGTCTGACACATTTGCATTCCTGGAGCTCCAAGACTGTTTCCCCTGGGGGCACTGTCTCCAGGGGTTTAGAAGGAGATAAGAACAGAGGGTTTTGGGGGGGATGGGGAGGGAGTTCAGTTCAACAATCTGGCACCTTCTTTCTGAGAGATTCCTCCCTGCAGCCCAGAAGATGTGTCTGCACAGCCACTACTCTAGATGTTACATAGAAAATTCCGGGAAATTTCTGGTCACCCCAATTTTGCAGTGTGACCCCAGGTATATCTCTCAACCTCTCTGAGTCTCTATACTTGATCACTTATTGAAAATGGAGACATAAGATATACAATAAGAGTGAGCACAGGGCCTGGAGAAATAGTATGCTTGTCTCACATATAGCCACCACCTGTCACTCCATACAGTTCCTTGAGCACCGAAAGGAGTGATCCCTGAGCTAAGGGCAAGGAGTATGCCCTAAGCACTGCCAGGTGTCAGCCAAAAGAACAAACAAACAAAAAAGGACTTGGTCTGTATCTCATACCATCACTGTATCACAGTCATCCTGTTGTTCATAGATTTCCTTGAGTAGGCACCAGTAACGTCTCCATTCGTCCTAGCCCTGAGATTTTGGCTAGTGCCATACTGGAGACCCCTTCAGAGTCAGGGGAATGAGACCCATCATTGTTACTGGGTTTTGGCATATCGAATACGCCACAGGGAGCTTGCCAGACTCTGCCGTGCAGGCAGGATATACCCGGTAGCCTGTCGGGTTCTCCAAGAGTGAGAACTAGACAAATAGAGGTCGCGTGGCCGTTGTTGGGATAACATGGCGCTGGGGGTAGTTGGTGGGTGTAATGCCTAGCTACTGGAAGATGGGGGATCTGGGCGGAGGAGGCCCAGTCCCGATCTGAGCAGGCTTGGAGATCTCAGCCCTGGGTCTCACACACCTGGGTTTCTCTGCTGGTTCCTTCATGAGTGAGGCTCTCCGAATGTGTGGAGAGTGGTCTTAAAGCATAATTGTGGCTGGTTCCGGAGGTGTTCAGCTGTGGGGCCCTGCTCAGAGCTGGGAGGAAAACTCAACCTGCCCCCCTCCAAGGGGCCACAGTGAGAACAGCTAGGCACGGGGGCAGGAGACTCTGCCATCTCATACCATATACGAGAGTTAAGTCCAAATGGATTACAGAGCTCTCAATGAGATCATAATGCTTTGAGGCAAACGTAGGCAGAGCTGCTCTTCCAGGATAAGAACTTAAAAAGTGTCTTCTTATGGGGCTAGAGAGATAGCACAGCAGGTAGGGAGTTTGCCTTGCAAGAGGCCAACCCGGGGTTCGATTCCCAGCAACCCATATGGTTCCCTGAGCACCGTCAGGAGTAATTCCTAAGTGCAGAGCCAGGAATAACTCCTGAGCATTGCCGGGTGTGACCCAGGAAATTTTTTTTAAAAAAGTGTCTTCTATCAGACTTCACTGCAAAGACAACAAATCAAAGGTAGAACAATTGGTATTGTGTCAAATTTTAAAAGTTTATTTTTTTCCAAGTTTTTTTTTAAGTATCTTGATTTAAACTACCATTAATGACAATTTTCAAAGTATATGACAGAGACTCAAGAGATACAGTGAATAGGGCATTTGCCTTGCACGCAGCTGTCCCAGGTTTGATACCAGGCATCCCACAAGGTCCCCTGAACACTGTCAGAAGTAATTCCTGAGTTCAGAGTTAGGAGTAAACCCTGAGTAAACCCTGAGTAAACCCTGGGTGTGGCTCAAAAATAAAAAGAAAAAAGTATATAACAAAATAACAATATGTAATTGCAGAAAGACAGTGCACCAGATAAAAACTAATATCCAAGATCTCCTCACACTCACATAGCTCAACAATAAAAGGACTAATAAACCCATGAAACTGAGGAGAGAAGGTGAACGACACATCCTAAAGAGGCTATACGTATGGTCAATGCTTGGGAGTGACAGCATCGTGGGGAGGGCGTTTGATTTGCATGTGACAGACCCAGGTTTAGTCTCAGGCACCCCATATGATCCCCCAAACCTCCGGTAATGACCCTTGAGCACAGAGCCAGGAATAAGTCCTAAGCACCACAAGGTGTAGTCCCCAAATATCACCAACAAAAAGTATGACCAGTGCTTATGAAGATTGCTCCTATTCAATGATTTCAAAACCAGAAAATGACAAGGAGATGTTGGTGGGGGGTGGGTATGTGTTGACAATGGAGTCCTCACTTATTGTAGTGGGACTGTTGTCTAGTCCAGCCACCCTGGAAAATGGTGTGGAGTCTTGAAAACCATAGAAAGGGGCTGGAGCGATAGTACAGCAGGGAGGGTGTTTGCCTTGCACACAGCCAACCCGGGTTCGATCCCCAGCATCCCATATGGTCCCCTGAGCACCGCCAGGAGTAATTCCTGAGTGCAAAGCCAAAAGTGACCCCTGTGCATCGCTGGGTATGACTCAAAACGTCAAAAAAAAAAAAGTAAAAAGAAAACTGTAGGAATACTGCTTACATAGGAGCCAGAATTTTCTTTTTTCTTTTCTTTTCTTTTCTATTCTTTTTTTTTTCTTTTCCTTTTTGGGCCACACCCAGTAATGCTCAAGAGTTACTTCTAACTCTGCACTCAGTAATTACTCCTGGCGGTGCTTGGGGGACCATATGGGATGACGGGAATTGAACCCAGGTCAGCCATGCAAGGCAAATGCCCTCCCCACTGTACCTATCACTCTGGCCCCAGGAGCCAGAATTTTCTTGGCATGTAACCTCAGTCCCCAAAACCTGACCCCGAGAAGCTTTCTGCACACCCATGGCGGCACTTGGGGCAATTGCTTGGAGGAAACAATTCAATGTCTGGCACAAATGAGTGGAAAGGAAGGTTGGTGAGCCATGCAGTGCGGCTCTAAGCAGTGGTGAAATCTGGACCAGAGAGAAGACACAGGTGTTTGCCTTTCCGACACCTGCACCCACCAAGACCCATGTCAACTCTCCAGCCAAATACCCTGGATAGTTTTTGGAGCCCGGCCGTGGGTCATGCCTCCACATAGAGCCCAGAATAACCTCTGAGAACTGTGGGGTGTGTCCCCCACCTCACCCTACCCCACAAAAAGGGAAAAGAAAAGATGAAGGACTCTAGCGTGTAACTTGGAGGAAACTGGAGGCATCACTGGAGAAGTGAAATAAGTGAGAGGGAGAAAGACACGCATGGATGACCTCACAGTCTGTAGAGAGAGACACAGAGAAATGGGAACTGAGAGCGAAGACCCTGAGAAAGGCTGACCTGAGTCCAGAGCTGAGATGTCCAGCTGGATTGGGGGCAGGGGGCTGCAGAGGGACGTGCTCAAGCAGAACATTTGCGGGGGCGGGGGTCAGCACTTTGGTGGTGGGGAAGTGTGGTAAATGCTATGGCAAAGACATAAATGTTGGGCCCGGATTTTATTATTTCTCAAAACTACTGGAGCAAAAGCACAGCGAGTAGGGCATTTGCCTTGCACATGGCCTACCCGGGTTCAATTCCTCCATCCCTCTTGGAGAGCCCAGCAAGCTACCAAGAGTATCCCGCCCACACGGCAGAGCCTGGCAAGCTCTCCGTGGCGTATTCGACAAAAATGACAAAAACAGTAACAACAAGTCTCACAATGGAAACATTACTGGTGCCCACTTGAGCAAATCGATGAACAACGGGAGGACAGTGCTACAGTGCTACAGTGCTCAAAAGTACACGAGGGGCCAAAGTGATAGTAAAGTGGGTAGCGTGTTTGCTTTGCATGCGGCCAACCCGAATTCAATCCCTGGCATCCCATATGGTCCCCCAAGCACTGCCAGGAGTAGTTCCTGAGTGCAGAGCCATGAGTAGCACCTGAGCATC